AGCAGGATCAGTGCCAACATATAGACAGGTGGTTGAACAAACTGACAAGAATACTTGTATTTGTTTTCATTTTATTTTATTTTTTTTTTAGTTTGTCCAGTTCAAGGAAGAAAACACTACAGACAGGAAAGCCAGTTCCTGTGATACTGATCAGTTCCTTCATTCAGATGTCAACCATTACCCCCTGAGAATGAGGACTACTCGCGTACTGTAGCTGCGTGGACAAAGCCCCAAAATCTGAGCCTTCTACTGCATCTGTGGTCCAGAACTGGTATTGCTGGGTTTTGTGTGATTCATTCATATTTCAGCCACTGATGTATGTAAATGTTTGCAAAAAGTCTGAAAATAAGCATTTTACAAGAGCTTTCAGAAACATGTTGTAAATATAGAAGTCTTTTGGACAGGATGGCAGAGTTGTAAGTGGAATTCATGCCTATGGCACATTAGCTGGTTTAGTTCTGGACCCTACAAGTAGGGTCTCAGATTCTGGGGTAGATTCAAAGGTATAGATGCACAGGTTACTATTCAGATGGTCACGATGTATACAGGTAATCAGAACACGTTTTAATTCAGTGCGGCTGTGGACAACTTGCAGAAACACCACTCACTCACAGTACTATCTCAGCCGACACTGAGCTGCTGCGACCTTAGGGTACACAAAGTTAGTTATGGTTATGCAAATATTATCGTCTATTCATCTTACAACATAATACAACGGCTGGGCATTGACCACTTAACAAACACACAAAAATCTGTTAAACCAAAAAAGTGAGAGGTTGATTTATTTTCTACGTTTTGAATTTGCCAGTGTCAGTCAAGGGAGTCTGCAACTGTGGAAAAGGAAGAAACCACATTTGCCAAGTCCTCCATACTTCAAAGTGCACGTCATGGGCCGTGAGGTTCAACCCTACTTCAAGTGTACTTCATTTTAAGATGCACTTGTCAATGGCATGGTCAGCTTTGAAATGTGAGTGAAAGTGACTGACTATGTGAATGAGGTGAGAATTAAAGAGAGAAAGTGAGAGTGAAATAGAGAGCAGTGGTCATCAACATCTCCCTGGAGATCTGCCCCCCTTCAGAATTTGAATCTAACCCTTATCCAGTGCTCCAGGTCCTGCCCATTAGTGTCTTCAGGAGGGGATGTAATAAGCTGGAGTGAAAAACTGACAAATGGCTTGATGGAATCAAATAGCCTGATGGTATCAACAGGCTGCGTATACTTCTAACACACCGCTGCCTACCAACCAAAATCAACCAACCCATTCACGGTACTCTGCAGAAGTCAGAAACTACCCTTTAATTTACTAAATTTCCAGTCAAAACAGCCAAAAAGTTACAAGTTATTTACTTTTCAGAAAAGAAGAAATATATATAACAGAAAATCACACAAAAGCCTCTAACACTAAGTTTAATATCAGAAATTAATATCAAATGTCAGTATTTAATTTGTCCACTCTCTACTTTTTAGCATCCTACTGCCTCCTTAATTCTTCCACCCTTCCAATCTTAAAAGAAACAAGTACAGCTGTGTCCTCCCAACAAAACCTGTCCCCAAAGACTCAACGATATTGTCCCCTCTCACAGACACTAACATTCTCACTACCCAAACTCACCTAAGCTGCCACACACATTTCTTTCTCATCACATCTAAGATGGAGATACTTCTGAGATTAGATATAGTATAATGCGCTATAATTTGCATAAAGAAGGAAAAGTCAAAAGGAACCAATGGAAAAAAAGCAGGAGTTTCTAAAATTAGAGTTTAAAAAATAGGACTCCTAACAACAATACAAGACCTGGTAGACACCAAAACTGTCCTTATCAGAGAGACAGCACTTAAAGCTACTGGTGTCATTTTCTGTTATGGTTTCTGTGTTTTTAATCACACTGAAAAATTAACAACTTGTACTTAACAGCTGTTTTGGCTGTGTTCTCTAACTGCAGAACATACTGTACATGATGGAAATCTTAATTAAGAATAAATGAAATAAGAAATCACCTCAATGTCATGATGGCTTAAATGACTCACATGTTCAGAAATGGTAGACGTGACCTCACTGTCGTAAGAAAACCATGAAATTGCCAACTGCCCTTTTCATTGTGTGAGCATTTCATGACGAAAAGACCAACAGAAATGTTAAAATGCAAATCTTATGTTTTTAAAAGTTGCACTAACAATGAAGAACAGTTTAAGAATTTTTTCCTTCTCTTATAAAGTTACCATTTCAGAGATAAGAGATTTTCTTACAACAGTGATGATATAATACACACTTTCGAGGGAGTGCATTGTCTTTCTCACACCTGTGTAGATCTCCAGGAGGACAGTTGATGGCCTCTGTAGTCAAGCTGTGGGTTCTGTAAAGAAAGTCTAGTCATTCAGCGGTTCGATGTGTAGGATTGTTGTCCTTCTACCACTTGATCCTATGCAAATGAACTGAATTACTGACTTGTGCAGGTGCTATAAAGAATTTGAAACAGCCCACATCTACACAAATGGGAGCTAACTGTGTATCAGTATCAGTATAATGCATATTACCTGCAGTTGGGTCTTATGAAAATCTTAAGTATTGTGTTAAAGGGTTATAGCAGCCTTTCCATGCACAGAATATCTCAAAGATGGCCAATATTCTGAATAAGGTAATAATTCCATTATAAAGCACACTCTATGACGACAAGCGATCTAATAATCGTGTTTACTTGCAAACTACCTGCTTTAACAACATTACCTGTGTGCTGCTCGCATCCCTGAATAACGTCACATTTTCCCACAGATATTTCAGGGTCATATTCTCCTTTGTCTGCAATGCCATAACTGAGGTAGTGGCAAACTGACCCAACTTAGAAATTTCGCTGAAAAGAGCGGCTTCAGCAAGCGGCTAAACTCTAATTCTACACATTTCACACATCTGAATCGTGAGTCCTGAATAAAGGGCTATTAGGAGGACTATAGTTATGTGTCATGAGGTCTGGCACCACAAGGTAAGCTCTGATCATAAGTCTGCATGACTGCATGTAGCTTACATGCAATGCAATGCATACAACACATAGTACTGCTGCTCAGTGCACACAGTAATGCGCTAACTGGAAAGAGAAATTGGCAAGAAAATGTGATTTTCTTTAGTAAAGAGTGTTGCCTGGGTCTGCTGCATCACTGAGCTAGCAACAGTTCTCTTCTTCTTCGAGAGCAGGTTCAAACACACAACTGCAAATAACATGCTTCAGAATTGCCCAAAACCATTTTCAGGCCATCTTCAGGACTGTGGCCCTGGCCATTTTGAAGTCAAACTGGTGTTTTTAAGCATGGACTGACACAGAATGATGATAATTAACCAACTGACTGCTTGCAAAATTACTGACACGCCTTTTAGCCTATCACAATAGTCTCTAAATATTCCTCACTCCAAATGAAGGAAAAATTGGGATAGAACTCCTCCAAACAAACCTGCAGTGAGAACGGTGGTGGTAGCAAATCTGTCAAACTTTTTAAACTAAGAAACGACGAAAAGGTGAGAAACATGTAATTCAGACATACGCTATCCTCATCTTCTGAAGGGTGGTGGTGTTTTTGTTTCGTTCCTAAACCTGAAAAAATTTTGGATTAAATTATTTGGAAGATCACACTCTCAGCTCAGTGTCAGAACTATTAACAGGCTTGTGCTGGCTCAATTCCTTATAGGATGGTCAGTTTTCTCAGTGGCCATCTTGGCCACGCCCCTGGGCAGTTATTTCCATACAGCACCAGGCTTCTACATCACTGAATGGGGAGAGACCTAGAAACCTGAAACTATGAACTACATTAACATTTCAGAAACCAAAATCTGACAAAAATGTAGCATTTTGCTTAAATAATTATGGAAGCCCTTAAGCCGTATTTTGTAATAAGTTATTTTCATGTTTTCTCAAAATCTTGTGATATTAATGTCAGTAGCACAGCAAACCCAATGTTATTTTCTCGAGATTTCGAGTTGTTTATATCATCACAACATAACAGTGTTTAATCAAGATAACTTTCATTATGTTGTAATAATGTCATAAATATCACGAGAAAATATTTATGTAGTGAAAATAATATATGTAACTCAAGATTTCGAGAAAATTAATGAAAATAACTCATGTTGGAAAAAAACAGTGTAAACTGTGGGGCGCATTTCTCCTCAATGAAGAAGAGCTTTTCCTGCTTGCGGCTTTACCAGGAAGCCCACTGGCTCTTTTTTTATTGAAGGGTGGGATTTTCACTGTGAACAGACATTCATTATCTCCTGTTTTACAATGTCTCTGGCTGCCTCTAAGGTAGGCTAAACCTTATCTGGGTTACTATATTTGCTAAGAATCATTTCATGATCATCATCTCATCATTTCACTTAGGCTAAACAGCATTACTATTTCTGTGTGAAGATAAATATTAATGCACTCATATGCATGGCATCCATGCCTTGTTTCATTAGAGTTTGCTGAAAGACATATTGTTAAAGATGACGACACCACACCAACATCACTCTGGTTAGCTCAAGTGTTAGCTTTAGTATTGGCTCATCTGAAAGAGCAGCTTTGGTCAAGTAACTAAACAATTTTGAACAAATTCATTGTTCACTTCAAACTGGCCTACATGTACATTTTGTCAAACGTGAGTGTCTGCACTGAACATCTTGTAAAGCCGGTTTATGTTTAAATGAAAACTGATTGAGATGTTCTGCTCTGTGTGCTTCCAAATTTCCCTTTGTACTACTTTACTTTTCAGTGTTACAAACGCTACCAGGTAGCCTGCACTGAAAGTCTGAGGGATGTACTAACAGTAACTAAGAGACGAAGGCTTTCTTAGAATTTTGCAAACAGTCAATTGAGGAAAGTATTCCTAACGCACTGTTTTTACACCATCATGCAGCACTCTGAAAACGGAGTAAACGCTACCTCTGAGTCAGAATGCACTTATTGTGATTTTGATTCTTAATTTGAAATGTGACTGATGCCTTAGTCAGAATACTGCCATCTTCTGACCACAATCATATTCTTTACCCTGTGTGGAAATACTTAGTGTTCCTCATGCTTAATTCTTATAAATACATGGTCTCTAATAGGACAGTGCAACCTAACTCGGGAACCTTTTTTGCTGGGTTCTGACCCTTTACAACAGTCTGTGGTCTGAATGTGGGAATTAAAGCCATTACGATAATTGAAACCTTTATGGATGTTATGAGTTAATTAATTTATAAAAAAAAAAAACTGAACTCTTTTGCTAAACTTAAGCAATGTTTTCTACTTTTTTAGGCACAGACTACCACGTAATGACAAATACTAACTGAACAACTACTTTTATGTGAGTCACTCTGAACATGAGCGATGAAGAAAGGAAACACTACAGGGTTTCAATGTTGGAGATGTGGCCTATACATCTCTTCAAAACTAAGGTTTCTTCCTTTTTGTTTGTCCAAATAGGAAAAGAACAGAAAAATACATTGTTGTTTCCAATGGCTTGCATTTGAAAAGGTGCTGGACAGGAGTGGTCACTTTGCGATGCATGTCCTGGGTCAGGCAGGGTTACTGGGGGACCACGTCCTTCAGGGAGGCGAGGGCTGAGTGGATTCGCACATGCAGTCTGTTCTCAAAATCATAGCCTGCATAGTTCTCCTGCAAGCACAGGCATGCTCAGCAGTTAAGCTCTATTTAATTTATTTGGGTAGCATATAGGTAAGAACCACCCAGGATTATGAAATATTATTTAGTGCTTTGGGCTGTATGGCTTTTTTTAGACATTACTAAGAATCATAATATCACTCATATGATTAATGTTGTTAAATCAGTCCTACGCATTATCTTACCTTTGCCTGAAGCAGCAATGATCTCCCTTTACTCAGAGTCTACAAACAAACAAACAAACAAATATTTACAGCATTTTATCTACTGTAGGTTTTGTACACGCTGTAATAGCAGCAAAAGAACACTTTGGTATTGGCGACAGGGGGGGCAATTCATCATCTGTACGTCATTTTAATATCCCAAAAGGCATGAAATTTGTTGATAAATTAAATAGGTGGATAAAACACAAAATTACACGGGGGTAATGTATCCTATATCAGCCTTTTAATCCTTATGAAAAGGATTTCCTGATTAAAAAGCCTCAGTAATCTCTGAAGTGATGCATATCATGATAAATCCCAGGGATTACCTTTCTCTTCGTGGTTTTAATCTGAAATGGGGGCTAGACTGCTGACTCAATTTGTACTCTACAATTTACTGCACTGCATGCTTACAAACTACAGCTTTAAGCATCAACTCCTACTGCAGTCAATGACTTTATTTCCATATAAAATCTATTTACTAGTCCACTTCTCATATTCTTAAGTTTAGAACCTTACCTCAGGTTTTGCCAGTAACACGCAGCCCAGCTCATAGTAGGAATACGGCTGTACATAAGAGTTGGTCTGTCGCCCCAGTTCATCCCTGGCTGCCATCTGGTAAGACTGTGTGGACGGGACAGAATATACATGAAGAACATTTGCCAGCTCCAAAGTCAGATGTTCTAGAGCAGGGGTACCCAATGATTTATCACCCTGCAGAACCCCTGTTTGAGCTGGATTAGTTTAACCTAAAAGGTACTATAGTTTAATAACCAGTTCTGCCTTTAGCTTGTTTTGATATCTGTTATTTTAATCTAGTACAATTCTTAAGTGTTTGCAGGTCTTACAGAGTGTCATAAGAAGTAATGCCTGAGTGAATGGCCTTCTATCATTGGCTGAACTCAATCCACATCATGCTAATAGAATAAAAACCTGCTAATAAGACATTAGAGCTTAAAATACTGCCTGCTTGGTTTGGTCAGATTCAGACATTATTTTCCAAATATGAGTGTCGGGTTCAAACTTCACGTTCAGGTTCTCAGAGCCCGCCTCCCACTTTTTAGTTTAAGATTTTAGATTTCACCCTGCACTTCCTCCTGTTTTTGTTTTTCTCTTTACTGTATTATTCCTCCCTACTTTCATTAACTTAAACCAGGGGTCAGCAACCCAAATGTTGCTAAGAGCCATTTTGTCCCTTCAACAAAAATTGGGAGCGACATTTTATGTCCATTTTACCATCTTGGCTGTTAATATGTCTCAGTATGTGCTACTAGCATAGGCTAAAAAATATGACATAAACGGAAACGCAGACTTACTTTGCTCTGCTTTAGCTTTAGCTCATAGACGCTTTTCTCGCATCTCTGGCAGGAAACTCCGCAAAAATAGAATAGTTTCTTGTAAAATGTCTCTCAACATTCGTCTTTTTACGAGGCTGAGGTCAGCTTCTCATTCACCAGCTTCAATTTCCCATTCCACCTTAAATGGTTTCTGAGGCACCAGAATGTAACTGTTGCACCACTTAAGGTGGAACGGGAAAATTCGAACAAGAAGCTGGCAAATGAGAAGCGACTTCGGCCTTGCAACTTTTTAGTGTTTGACAGTTTCTTGTTGCAAATTAAACGTATCAGGAAACCAGCTGGAGTGATTATCCATTTGTCTCCAAATTATTGATGTTTGTCTTAAATCTTTCTCTTTGCCTTTTCATTAGCTACTAGCTAGGCAAGATTATCTGCGTTGCTATGGTGACCAGCAGTCTGCATATAGTGCATATAGTGAATAAGCAGTTATACATACAATTTCAATGTTTAAGGCCATTTATTGTTAAAACTGTGTTGAACGATAAGCAGAGCTTTATTTTAGTGCAAAAGAGGATTATTTTATTTCTACCTAAAAACCTAATTCTGCTGTGGAACCACAACAGGGCAGTGACGGAGCCGCATGCGGCTCCAGGGCCAAAAGTTGCCGACCCCTGCCTTAAACAGTTTTTATTCTGGCATGCTGGATAATTTTTTATATTGTATAGTTGCATTGTTGCAATGTATTGTTGTCAGAATTTAGCATCAAATCCTGGCCAAAAGTATTTTTGTATGTTCAATATGTTATATGTAACATGGTTTATGTAAAGAAAAGGAGTTTTACGGTGAGTTTAAGAGATGCTGGCTGGAAAGACTTACATCTTGCTATATCAGCACTGCACAGTGTGAGAACAGCACATTATGGGAAGTTTATTCAGACTAAAAACCTTTGGGATGTTGTTTGAAAGCATTGCTTAAAGATATTTTTTGGACATAATTTCGGACGGAGAATTATTTTATCACTATTTTATATTGTTTTTAATTTTATTTGTCTGTGGTCAACTGACAGCTGTCAATACATGTAACGTAGCCAGCACTATCATCAGAAATATCAGGTTCTATCTGGCACTTTGAGTGATCAAGGGCTGGTTCTGGTCAGTTTCAGGGAGAATTTTGCTGGGCTTGGCTCAGGTTCGAATGATATGTGTTGTGTTTGGTCAGTTCCTGACAGAAGGTTCTCACACAGTATTCAGATTTGGACGAACATTTCAGGCCCTATTACAGCTCTAACAGACATGCTTGTGTGGTTTGTTGTTATTAAGTGTGTCTTAGTGTAATGCTGATGTAAACATCTGGATTACAGCCTTTCAATTCTATACAAATTGGTCAGTCAGTTCTCTTACAAATAACATTACAGAACCGCTTCTAGTAAAACTAATCTAGCTCAATCTAGCAGTGCTAGAGTTTCAGCTCTATGTATGGTCTTCTTCTTAATATTAATGTTAGACTGAAAACACATCTAACTTCTGCAGTGAGACAGATTTCCCGGAGTAGTGTTGGACACTAGAGCTGCTTTTTGGACATAAATCACTGTTCAACAAACCTGGATGGCATCCTTAATGTTTCCAAGACATTTCTGAATAGCACCAAGAAGCAGGTGTTTTAAGCCCTGGCAGGATGGGTCATCCAGACCCTGCAGCACTGAGAGAAAAAAAGGAGTGCAGAGGTTAGGACCATCAGAACCAAACCAAACTTACAAGCAGCATCACTCTAAGTAACATCTGTTCCCTCTCAGTCTCCTTCCTCAGTTACATTTGTAATGGCCCCTTTAAGAATTATGAATTAAGTTTGAATGCTACTGCTGGAAATGTGTACATTGGATTTTACGCTGGATTTCAAACTCCTCCAGGATGTGTCATAGCTCGACTATCTACAGCAGGGGTGTCAAACTCAACCACTAAAAGGGCCATATTAAAAAATCTAAAAAAAATCTGTGGGCCAGCTGTGGTTTTATTTCATTTTTACTTAACATTTTGCCACGACCCAAACAGGCCACTGTTTATTCAGAGAATGCCAAAATCACAATAGCAAAACAGGAATTGAATACGTTTTTAAAACTGCCTATTTGCTTGGACTAGACATCGGGCATCTTTTCTTTTTGTATAACTGCTGGCCCATAGATTGCTGTTGGGGGAAAGGGGTCAGAGCGTACACTACGTTGCAGTGCATGCTGGGGACTGTAGTGCATCTCAGGGTGAAACAGACTAATAAGAATAGAAAATTAAAATCATTTTGCGGGCCGAGTAGGACCGAGTCATGGGCCTGACTTGGCCCATGGGCCCTGTTTGACACATGGGATCTAGAGGTTCACCGCAAAATGCAGGTTTCTCTTACCTTGGCTCATGAGTTGGAGTTTGGAGGATGAGCAGTTTGGAAGAGCCTTCCACAGATACAAGACCTCAACAACTCCCAGAATGCAAAGCTCCTGCGTGGCAGACATCTTCCTCAATCGCTCTGCCTGCAAAGCCAAAAGTCAGTGAAGAAGATCTTAAAAGAGAGTCAGCAAAAGCAAGAGGTTCTATCAGTTCTATCGTAACTGTTTGCTAATACCGTTTACTTATAGTAACAGACTCACCCTCTTGAATGCAAACTGCTCGATCTGATTGTTCTTGCGTTTGAAGAGCTTATGTACATCTTTGAAAATTGCTTTCGCCCCCTCTAAATCACCAGACGCACCTTGACATACTGGTAAATGGAAAAAAGACAACAAACGGTTCAGATTGTTTAAGTTAAATCACGAGGTTCACTCAGAAAAAAGCTTAATTTCGTTTCTTAATCAAACAGTCAGCACATACTGAATTGTTACCTCAACATAATACAACTGCGATTAAATCTGACATATTTTCAGTTTGTAATTCAAACAAGCACTTACCTTGGTCTAACTGTCTTCAGGCAGGGAAGATGATGAAACTTACCTCCAGTTAGGTAGGCATAGTAGCACTGCGACCATCTGGATTCATTCTTCAGTCTTTCAAAGGCCTTATAAGCATCTTCAAAGTTCATCTCGATCATACTGCACCAACCTGAAATGTAAAAACTATTTATAACAAGTTCAAAATTTATTGTGTGCCAAAATATATATTATCAATACATGTACATATATTACCAATATATGTTATCAATACATGTAAACAAATACCATACCAATCTCATAGAGACACACGTGTTGAATCTCTCTTTGGTCTGAGGCGAACTCCAGCGCATCGTGGAAAGATGTCAGTGCACTGTTGATCTGGCACTGAGAGAGAAAAGCATTCTCATTACTGATGTGGGGAAAATATATCAGCAGCACTTCAATAGTGTTTCATTAAAGGTCTGAAAAAAGTGCAATGTTACAGTGGGCAAAAAGCCACCTCTCCACCACCTCTCAATCATACACTGTGAATACCTGACCACAAAGAGGACAGTTCCTCTGGTTTTCCATGTAGTGATGATGTACATTAAATATGAGCCAAACAGGGTGTAGAATTTGTAATAAAATGCAGATTATAGACAAATTTAAATCCTTAAGCAACTGGACAGTCAAAAAAGACATAAAAAACTATATATACGGAACATGTAAAAACACTCTTAAAAAGATGGTGCTTCAAGGGTTCTTTAGTAAAGAAGTTGGTCCTATATAGAACTATGAACACTCAAAGGACTCTGCATGATTAAAGTGTTCTTTGCATCGTTAAAGCGTTCTTCGGATTGACGGAGAATGTGCTGTAGATGATTCTATATGGAGCCTTTTTGAAAATGGTTCTATATAGCACCCAAAAGGGTTCCTCTATTGTTATGATGTCAAGCTTATAACAACAGATGAACCCTTTTGGGTGCTATATAGAAAGCTTTTCAAAAAGGTTCTATATAGAACCGTCTGTAGCACATTCACTTTTCATCAATCTAGAGAACCCCTTCAATCATGCAAAGGGTTCTTTGAGTGTTCACGGTTCTATGTAGAACCACTTTCTTTACTAAAGAGCCCTTGAGGAATCATTTTTAAGAGTGTAGTTCACCCAAAACAGATGTATCTACCCTTAAGGCAAAACTGACGTTCTGCCTTTTAACATCGTCATCATTTCATTTCAAATTCAAATCAAACCTGCTGGAGTGCAGAACAAAAATAACCCATATTGTGTCCAACTACTCACAAATTGTAGTAGGGATGCACAAAGACACCGGAATCATATCAGTATCAGCACATATTTGCTTACAGAAATACACTTACGTCAGATATATGCTTGGATTTGAGTGAAATTTTAAACCAATATTTGACGTTGTATTTATTTTACAGAGCATCATGAAAGGGTTCTTTAGATCTATGGAACATGTGCATGAATGTGCTATAGACGGTTCTATATAGAACCTTTTTGAAAAAGTTTCTATATAGCACCCAAAAGGGTTCATCTGTTGTTATAAGCTTGACATCATGACAATAGAGGAACGCTTTTGGGTGCTTTATAGAACCATTTTCAAAAAGGTTCCATATAGAATCATCTATAGCACATTCTCCATCAATCTGAAGAACCCTTTAATGATGCAAAGAACCCTTTAATCATGCAAAGAATTCTTTGAGTGTTAATAGTTCTATATAGAACTATTTTCTTTACTAAAGAACCCTTGAAGCACCATCTTTTTTAAGAGTGTTCAGTACAGTAATCATAACCCTTTTTTCATATTCCCTATATACAGTTTTTATGTATTTTTTTTGGTGATGCTGAGCTACTGCACTAAAATGTCTACATTTTATTAATTTCACTGCATTTGAAACCCTTTATAAATTAGTGTTATATTTCTCTGCATCCAGGTTTAGTCGCTATTCCTACATTTTATACATGTTTATGTATCAGCATCGACAGATATGCACAGTAAAAATATTCGGTAACACTTTCTATGAATGTCACCTTTGTAAGCATCTATAAACACATTCATAACATCTTATAATGCATTCATAAGACATTATAAACATGGCTATAAATATTTATAAAATGCATTACACATTCTAGCCATGTTTATTATGCATTATGAATTGTTAACATAATACATTATAAGTACTGATCATAACAAATTATAAGAGCTCATAAGTCGTATTTGTCCGCTCTAAGTAAAGTGAAGCGTACTGTACTAAAGCCTCCTCCAGTGTTAAGAGTGAGGCTTCAAGTTGTAGTATTTACTGAAGGATTTACTGAAACACTAAAACATACACAGTAAAGCACATTACAGGCTTCAAATGTCAGAGTTTAAACTAGAGCTGCCATCAGTGTTTTACCCAATGTGGGAAAGGTAATGTACACCACCGTTAGCTTGGTATTTGTCTTTACTTTATGCTCTCCAAGCTGAGACTGACTTCTTTGGCACTGACATTATAAAATGTAATTAACACTACTTATAATACATTATATAAACAATTCATAATGTATAATAAACATGGCTATAAAGTGTAATTCAGTGTAATTCTTTTTTATAAATATTTATAACCATGTTTATAATGCCTTATGAATACTTTATAACATGTTATAAATGTGTTTACAGATGCTTACAAATGCAACATTCATAGAAAGTGTTACCAAATATTCCAGTACAAATTTATGCCATGTCGGTGCATCCCTGTATTTTAGTATCCCTATATTTTAGCTCCAGAATATGATCTATTATGTCTTCAAAACACAAACAATGGGTCTAAAACAGTTACAGTAGCATCAAACTACTGGTTTACTCCATCAACTGTGAAACAGCTAAGGCCTGACTTCAGGACTACCCACCTCTAACCTCTGCACCCGTCCTCTGAAGAAGATGAAGAGAGAGGAGTTTGGGTAGATCACTGCTTTCTTCTGCAGGATGGCCTTGGCCTCCATCAGTCCCGCCCTGGAATCAGAGCCATCCAGAGCAAAGAAGGGCTGCACTACCGTGTGGTACCACAGGAGGGCCAGCCTGGGGAAGGAAGCAGACGAGAGAGTGGAAAAGAGAACATTATAAAGCTACAGAAAATCTAATCGACAGATAATACCAACTGACATCATTTAATTTATTCAAAAATGAAACTGTTTGAAATAGTTTTAACTGAACAGTGATTTACTGACTGATAATTATCAGTTCTCAACAGTGAACTGTCACACAAAACTGAAAGTTCTCATGGGGTAAAACCCCCAAGGTCTTAAAGGGGAACTGCATCATTTTTTTCAAAAAAGTACGCATGATTCAATCATAATCGTAAATCTAGAGTGTTTTGATGTGAAACGCAAACTTAGAAACTTTGATTTGCTGCTGATAGAAACCAGGGCTGCATTCAGCCCCTACAAAACGTAGCAAAACATTTATTTAGACGGAAACGGTGATGCATTGAACACTCTGGGTGTCCTTTTAGCATATTCTTTTAAAAAACTTTACACTAAAATACTAAAATACTTGATGTACATTAGAAGATAAACAAACATATCTAATGTACATGAAGCCGCAGTGGCCACATTTGTAAATGACTTTGTTAGAATCCACTGTCTTTTTAATACAGCAGGGTTTATATACAGATCACTGCTGATTGGATAACACCCTTTGACGCCCACCAAATGACAGAAAATGTACCTCAAAGCCCGCTGCACAAACTGTTTCACACCGTTTTGATGAAACACGTCATTTAACCCCAAAACTGTAGGAAAATGGTGCACAACGTATTGAGATTGAACGTGCTCCAGGTGTCAGAATGTCTACACACAGATGAGGGTCTCTTACAGTGTCGTTACAAGAAGTTTTACAAAGCTGATATTAGGCAGAAACCGCTCTGTGTTTTAAGGTTCTATTCCGGCGGGTTTTGTCCCATTGCCATAAGACACTGGATTAAGCACGCTTAATTTCAGTGCTATTCTTAGATCATCTAGTCACAAGCTGTCAGCCTTTGGCAATGAAGCTACTTGGAACCAAGATCTGGTGCTCAAAAATCTGTTTAGATAAATACGTATTTTGTGCATGCCACGACAATAATCATATGTAATGTAGTTCACATAAAATAAAATTAGGCTTAGATGCAGAATTATGCAGAATTTTGCTCTTAAATGAATCGAGTGCCCCATTTGTTTTCATCGACTGAATGTTTTTCAGCACAGCAGACTATGTAGAGCAATGCCCTGTCTCTTTTAGCTTGACCTCCCTCAATATAAATTTCTTACATAACCATGCTATCAGTAACAGTGGAAATGCAGAGAAGACAACTAAATACACACACACTTTCACATAAAATTGTTACTGGTACTTTGGTGATGGAAAATGTGGATGTATCAAACACACTGAGCCGTGCTCAGTGTATGTCTGAAACTCCTGTACTTCTGCATCAGCTTATTTATTATTTATTTACGCTTGCAGTTGCATACCTCAGCTGGCAGAATTACATAAGCCATGCTGAACACAGTTAAATGTGCTTGTAGCTATTTACAGCTTATCTGTAACTAGATTTGCATTCTTTGAGATATTCTGAGCTTATCTGGAACTACATTTACTGCATGTGTCTCTTTAAACCTCCATATTTCTTCCTCTCTTGACTATTTTCCAGTCATTCAGGGCTTTTTGCCTCTAAGCCACCCTTTTCATTCAATCATTCAAACACAGGCTTTTTCTCTGTTCAGCTATATTTGACAATATGTCAACATTCTAAATGATTAGCTGGCAGTAAAGTACAGGAATACAATTTTTATGAGTGTTTCCCTAAAACAGACAATAAAATCTATCACGATAATGTCATGATCATGCAGTCTATGAAGCAGCTCCGGCATCAATGGGTCATCAGTTGTATTTTATTCATTACAGTTAAAATGCTCAGCCAAATATTCTGCTATTATATTGTATTTATGGCTACTGTACTGTAGTTCCTGAGTGGCACATCAGTCTCATCACTCGCCCTATCATTGGGAGACTGAGTTCGATCCCCAGCGATGCCATACTTGTCCATAATCAGGAATCCAAGACAGCATAACTGGCTTTGCTCTCTCTGGGTAGGTATAATGACCCTTACTCTCCCCCCATCACTCAGCTTATGCTCCCCAAAATGCCTGGATAATGTCTAAGAATACATGTGTTAATGAGCTTCTCCTGGTGCAGGTTTATGGCAACTTCCATGCAAATAGCGGAAGACTACTTAAGACTATGAGAATTCCCAAAGCCATGTTCACGTGCTGTACAAATCAAAAAACCAAGGCGTTTTCTGTCTTTACAGCAGTGTTTTCATCATTCAGCTACCCAACGGGACATTTAAGCTGTACAGAAAATACTGCAAATTTTACTCAGTAAATCACAGACAGCAGAGAGAGTGGGGAAATTACTCTATCGCAGCCTTTTAAAAGGCCCCATTATAAATCAACGTTTAACCCTTTAAATCCCAGGCTTATGACATACTAAGGCTTATTATTCAGTAACTACATGCACTACAGTGCAAACTAGCTGATTTATTCTCAGGCTATAGAAGTGTGTAGTACAACTTCAGGCCTGCCAGTGAGCCCCAGTCATTTAAGGGGTTAAAGAGTAAAAGTGAATAAAATATTATGTGTACACATTATTTAACTTTATCTGTTACCTTTTTCTACAGCACACATCATAAATGTGAACCCCAACCTCCCAACATATTTACACTGTTTAAGAGTGAATCATATCTCTTTCATTCTCTCCCTGTTCTTTTCCCGAAACACCAATTATCGCCTTTTACACATCGCCGTCAGGTTACTTGTCTATCATCTATGCTATCCGATTACATCGCCCTATTGCCGAGGCCTACTAGCCAACACAGGTGTCTGTTAGCTGACACAGTTCATGTTTTCCTCCAAGTGTGCTGCGCTGACCAATGATGTTAGTTTTCATTCGAAAAGAAGCGTTGATGCTTCACAAAGCACGTTAGCCTTCACCCTCCCAGCTTGGCAGCATTATGTGATGGGGAGACCTAGGTAACAGGTGGAATTAGCAATGACTAAACTGGGTGAAAATAAAATAAACAAACAATTTTCCTATGGCGATTCACAATTTTGTGAATGCAACCAGCAGATGCCGCAGGTCTGCACTTTCCGTCTTCATAACAGATCAAAAATAAATCACGCTTTAGAAAGAAAGATTTGAAAAGCAAAGCTTACGTAGCCAGAGGTGCTTTCATGTCTTTACTCTCACTGGCGTAAGCCAGAGACGCCAGCCCTTGGTGACGGTCTCCAGGGAAACCCAGCAGGTTGACTATCTTCAGCAGGTGTGGAGGCACCATAGAAATACAGAGGTGGAAAAGGCCATAGCCGAAACTGACCGAACCCTTCAGACGCCCCAGGGCCTCCTCTGTTACCCCTCCGCTGCCCTCTGCCACAGCTGTGTTGTGGTTGGCCTGATCGGAGGCCAGCTCCCCCTGCTGGCTGGAGGACCGCCGGCGACACGATTCCTGAAGCTGGCTAATGTCACTGTAGCATTTGTTATACATCTTCCAAGCCTTGCGGAGGATCCAGCCTCCTTTGATATAAGCTGAAATGAAAGAAAACGACATCACTGCATTACTCAGAGTTCTGACATCACAGCAGCTGTGCTTTTCTATAGACTTGTATTAACATACATAGTGAAGGACTCTTTGGCTATGTTCACAGTGCCTGTTCAGACAGGCACCTCAAATCTGATTTTTTGGCAAATTCGTTTTGAATAGGAAAGATTTTCTAAGTCTAAATGACAAAAAGCCACATGAAATGCAACTTTTCCCACCATATTCAAAGCACATTCGCATGTGGTTTCAAATCCGTTTCAAATAGTACCTCTAGACAAGCTACGCTTAATGTTACAATGTATAACAAAATATTACATTTCTGACTACACCACGCTTGTGTGCACCTCTGTGCTGTTACTGTGACGAACAACGTCTCAGGCTCAGATTATCTGTGTGCGTATCTGTTAGTGATGCACCAAAATTAATATCCTTGGCCGACACACAGGGCCGAAAACCGAAACCAAAAACCAAAAAAAGACAATAACAATAATTTTAAAAAGTTTACATAAAGTAAACTTACTAAAACGATTACAGCATTTAGGCTACAGTATGTGCCACGAAATCCAACATCCTTGACAACAGAGACCGTCTTCCAAGGCAATTAATTCCACTGCTTCTTAGCACTTTGGCACTGTGAATTCTTTCATCTGACGTAATAGTCAGGTCTTACTTTTCTTGGGCAGAATGTTGTTTTTCAAATGACTACACATCACACAAAAATGTGAACACCTGCCGCTACACGTCGTACACAACAAAAAAAGGCCTTTACCTGCCAAAGTAGTCGGTTCTTTTCCACAGTAAACTATGACGCGCACCAGACTCTCTTACAATATAATATAGCAGTATTCTTGTGAGACTACAAACAGTGTAGATATGCCAGAAAATGTGACTAAGGCCTAAGGACTAAGACTATAGAAAGACTATAGACTATAGTTTTGGTCTTTTGTAACTTGCAATGGAGACAATCCAATCTGAAAAATGGATTTGAAAAACACTCAGTTTGCCCTGCTGTGTGAATAAAGCTTATTGCCCGATTCCAATATTTTAAAATCAGACATGATCTTTCTGCCTTGATTAATGCAACTGTGCCTTGAAGATACCCACATATACACATTTTCAAACTTTTTAGCACTAGATAATAACAACAGTGATGTGTACATGCAAAAAAATTAAAAACAACATAAAAACAAAATCATGATTTACAATCTTAACTTTCTCATTACAATCACGTAAAGTCACATATACAGGACAAATGTCAGATATGTAAGGCTACATTCACATTACCAGGTTAAAGTGGCACAAATCTGATTTTTTGCCCTAATGTGACTCAGATTTGACAGTTTTCAGGGCTGTGTGGACACGCAAATCTGATCTTTTCAAATCTGACCTTAGTCACTTTCATATGTGGTCCTAGATCGGATACGTATCCGATTCTTGGGCATGCAACCTTAATGTGACACTCAGATCAGAATTCATGTGCTCTTTTTCCACTGCGCACGCGCCATCATTTAGCGTTACCATGGCAGCAGCGCCAAACAGACGTTAAAGCCTGTGAACTGTGGAAAAGCAACACATCTCACCTTTTTTGCCTTCGTCTCGCTCTAATAATGAGCAGCTGAGAGCCGATCAGAGTTAATTATCTTCACAGCGAAGCTCGTTCTGCTTGTTAGTCTGTTTGCTCATGATGCATGTGCAATGATTCATTCACGTGACGTTACTGAGTAGGATGTGCGCATGAGGGTCATTTCAGGATGCCGGTTCGTTCACATTAATGACAGATTTGAATCACTTCCCTAAACGAGTGTGAACCATCCTGCCAGAGAGATCGGATTTGAGCAAAAAATCGGATTTGAACAATGAGGCTTGTAATGTGAACATAGCTTATGTCATCTAGGAACGCATAAGTGACTCAAATTTGATTCGCAAAGACCACATTTTGCGTTCATAAAGTGAATCAGCCGAAAAACTGGATCTGAGCCATTTTCACCCAGCAATGTGAACGTAGCCTATGATTAATAGGTTCCACTAGCTTTGCATACAGCACAGGTACATACATTTGTTTCTTTAGTTAATCCATTTGATCTTCCATTCATTCATGATACAAAGTCCTTCTCATGCCTGAGTGCTCTTTAAAGTCAGCTAATGCTAAATCAAGGTGAAGGTTTAAACAGTGTGTGAGAGGATCACACCTGAGAGTTCCTGTTTGACGAAAGAGAGTACAGCGAGGTAGACCTGGCAGTCAGCCACAATGATCTGCCTTTGGAGCCGGTCCACTACCGCCATCCCTGACCTCTGCGAGTCCATCTGGAGGGGAAAGAACAGAAATGGATCTGGCAACCCAAAGGAGCATGTGGATTTACATTATGTATGACAGTATGATGCAAGATGCTGTGCTCTCTCTCTCTCTCTCCTTCAGCCTCTCTCTCTCTCTCGCTCTCTCTCAGTCAATGGCACAGCACATTCTGAACGCCCTTCCTAGCACTCTCACATTCACATACTTACACTCTTCTTGATCTTGTTACGGATGGTCTCAATGACGCCAGTATTATCACTCTCACACAGCTTCTCTGTGGTTCGCAGGTCATCGCAGGCCATCTGCATCTTCTCCTCCTCAAATGTCATCATGGCATTCTGCACACACAAACACGCATAGTTTGTTTTTCCAAGTCCATTTACTTTCAGGCTTTGACTCATCAAAATGAATTCTACGGATCGAATAAGTCACGGTCAAAACAATACAAGAAACAAAAAAAAAATGAACACTTTTTGCCCATTCTAGATTAAAAACAGACATCTGAAGCATGTAAAAGACATTCTATGTTTGATTTGAAGCTTGTAACAGACATATTAACATATATTTTACTATTTAGTAGTTTTACAGTGATTCTTTCAGTAAAGATTTCTGGCACAGATCTGCTGCTGTTTTCCATTTCTGACATCTAACTGGAACACACTGGCCAAACTATCACTCATACTCGCAGTCAGTGACATATCTAGGACCAGAAGGCCTAGAGCCCATGTGTCAAACACAAGGCCCGAGGACCACGTCAGAAATGTTTTAATTTATTATAAATATTAGCCTGTTTCACCCTGAGCTGCACTACAGTCCCCAGCATGCTCTGCAACATAATGTGTGCTCTGATCCCAACAACAATCTATGGGCCATCAGTTACACAAAAAGAAAAGATGCCTGGTGTCCAGTTTAAGCAAATAGGCAGTTTTTAAAAAACCTGCCTAAAACAATTTATTTTCATTTAGAATTATTTTTGAATAAGTATTCAATGCCTATTTTGCTGTTGCAGTTTTGGCATAGGTTGAATAAACAGTCGCCTCTTTGGGTCGTGGCAAAATATTAAGCAAAAATGGAATAAAAACACAGCTGGCCCCCAGATTTGCTGAGATGGCCCTTTTAGTGGTTGAGTTTGACATCCCTGGCCTAGAGTGATGTTTGCAGAGCAAAATGTGATTGGTTGATTGTTGAACCTTTGTCACTTTCTAATTTTGTTTGTGGTTAATCTGGTGTGTTAGGACTTCAGTCCAGCTTCTTAAGTCCTCATCAGTGGGACAGCTTACTTGGCTCTACCTGGATACCATGGAGAAATATTAATCCTGATTGGATAATTTTCCGTTTGAGAATTTAGACCTTTTGTTTCCAATTAAAGTTAATAATGAAATAAGAGTATTACTATAATATTTGCGTATTTGAGTATAAACACAAAAAGCATGATCATTATACAAAATAAAACTATATAACTGTATGACATACTGTTTTCTGGTCAAAAGTAGACTTCAACATGGCTGCTACTACTGACATATCTCTGTGACATATTTTTATAGATAAACTTTGGTCACAAAACATGTCTTGGCTGATTGCGTTTGGGGTTTTGGGGGGGTGGGTTTAGGGGTTGGGGTTATTGGGGGGGTGGGTTTGGGGGTTGGGGTTCGGGGGGGTATGTAAAATCACTTTTCCACCAAACTAACACTTTAAACTAGAACTAAAAATGATATGAACGTTTTAGATTACAGTAGTTCTGTTTTGAACTTGCAGATGAAGCAACTATGCCAAATCAAGCTTCATTTTAGTAGTTAGTCTTGTGTCCCATATGCTTCAAAAAACAGAGATGCCGTTGTCTACAGCCCTGCTCTGGTAAAACTTGGATTAGCTTTACCAAAGAAGGCCGGGTAATGTAATCAGTAAGGCATCTGACTGCCTGATTCATGTGGGATAAACCTGTGTAATTTCCCCAAATTACCTCAGAGAGCCTGAATCGAAACAGCAAAGCCTGGATGTTCACTTCAGCACTGAGATTAGAATTAAATGGATCCAAACAAACAACAAAACTGAACTTCCAGTAAATACCAGATAGAACAGTATTAGGCAAGTAATATGTTTTTTTTTTACCTTTAACAGGACAGAAATCACTCTGCCTTGTAAGAGGAACCTTCAGATATTTTATTTAATTCTCCTTCACCAAAAACGTTTGAGGATAAGGGAAATGAGCTTCATTTTAGCAGTTAGCTTTGTCTCCTGGTCCCCAAAAACAAACGAGGTGTTAATGTCTATTACCAGGATTTGTAATTACATTACTATGAGGTTGATTAGAACAGGACCACTATTACTAACAGAGCTCCAAGTTACACAAATAGAAGGTATTAAAAGCACAGCTCTTGTTGGTAATCACTCAAGTCAGAATACCTAAAAAACTAATCCAGCTTGAAAAACACTCCAGGGCTGTACAATAAATTGTAATTTTATCGTTATCGTGATACGAGTTTCCGCAATAAACACACCGTTAGAGCGGCGATGACAGAACAGATCTAATTACCTCGTACATGCAGCACCAGAGAGACGTCATTACATTACCAGCACAAACTGTTACAAGCCTGCTTCTCTGCTCTGCAGCAAAGAAAAAGCACACAGGCTGCTCAGGCTCTACTTTTTCTGCTAGCCAGCAGGGCTACTGAAGCCACATTATGCCCCTAGAGCCCTTCAAAATAAGAGTCCTTGACCAACTAAGAACACAGTGCCTAACACTTAACCAAAAGCAAGAACAGCATTATTTTTAAACTAAACACAACCCAGTGTGTCTGATGCAACAAAATTTAATAACAAAAAAGACGCAAGAATATGTATTTGTTCTTGTGTGCCTACATAAAAAAAGAAATCTTTATTTGGTTTTGTAGCCTTTATAGAAAAAGCTGTTGAAGTAATGCTGACTGTTTCTCAGCCCTTCAGTGCCCAATGTGCTTGCAGTTCTGATGTAATTAGCTGTCAGTATTTCATTTCTTTTTATTTTGCATAATAGTAAATGGGGCTTTTGTAATTTTTATTTTGCTATTTGTTTAAAGAGGGATTTAAAGAGATGTTAGTTAGATTTCTGTTTACACATCCTCAAAAACGCCTGCACATTATTTTAATAGTAGTTTATCACATCTCTTATTATGATCATTATCATTATGATTTCCGACAGCTTTATTGAACATTGCATTTTCTATCAATATTCTACAGCCCTATAAGATTCCCTATGCTGTAATTTCAAAAGCAGAAAACAGAACAAAATAGTAATTAGACAATAGACACAAGCTATGTCAGGTTTGTAAGGAAATCTTTAAGCATAGAGTAGCAGCATTCAGGGCTCATTAACCTTATTAATACTAACTAAATATCATCTGATATATTGATACTGTGATATAGCTAGAGAATATTGTAATTTATCAATACTACTTAACAGTTCTGGACGTACACTAGCTATTAAAACATACTAAAGTTGATAGAGTATGAACTGTCATGTAAATTCATTGGTTTTGGTCAATACAGTATGTATATGTATGTATATTGGAATTCTAAGTATAAATACTTAGAATAACAGTAATGGATTTATTATTCGTTTGCTTGGCCAAATGGCAAATCCAGTGTTTCTAGATGACCACACTGTATCACTGATGCATAAACAGCAAGTCTGTCCATTTTCTTCTGTAAACATGCGTTGTGTTATAAAGCAGTGCTGTAACAGGGGACGAGAAAGGGAAAAAAATGTGCTAATCGGATTGGAGGAAGTTAACACAATTGAGCTCACAGTGTGTGGTCCGAACAAAGAGCCCTTTCTTAAGAAACAGAAATGGCCTCTTTCCATTTTTCAGCTCCACTGCTGCACGCAAACCAGGTTCAGTTTGCGACGATCTAACCAGGGTAGATAAGCGCATAAAAACAGCATTGGAAAAATAAGAACGATCACACAGCAAATCTAAATAGGTGAATGAAACTGAAGTGGCAGATGGCTCTGGCCCTGCTCTGAATGAAATGTAATGTAACCACCTTTTCTAACTGGATGGTGAACAAATGAGCTTCTTTTAAATTAAATGTAATGTAATCACTTTTTGTACCTGGACAGTGATCAAATGAACCCTTTTTAGTTGATTAATGTTGATCTTGTCTTGCGTGGGCCTCTCCTCAGTTATCTAATGCTATCTTCTGCTTCTGAGGGTGGAGAATGACATCACTGGTCATATTACTAAGCAGCAGCCCATCTCCCACCATATGGAGTCATTGCCTGGGCCTGTTTCTGAATCTCTGCTGTGGAACATCTTTGTCTCGCCCTCTCTTTGTCTCTTTCTCTATAGCTTTCCTTTGCTCTTACTTTTTCTTTCTGTTTCTGTAGTTGACACAGTGCCCTTGGCTTAACGACACGATGCTAACCGTGCCCCATGTGGCTGTATCATGCTAAAGGGACACTCCAGCCAAAATGAAAGATTTAACTATCACTACATCCGTTGTAAACACGCCTGTGCACCTCAGTGGTTCCACAGTAGTCTCTAGGGGAAGATTTCTCCACTTAAAGATTGGAAAAATCTTCTGATGATGTATCTTGAAGGTAGGAGGAGCTTTTGGAAAACTGGAATTGCCTTGGCTTTGATTTCTGGGGCTTAATTTTTTTTGTCGTTAGCTGGTGAATCCAAAAGGAAGCTAGATAAAAATAAAAACAGCCAAATATTGTTTCGAATATTATACTGACTTTCGTACTGAAGCCATATAACTGTGGTATCTGACAGAATGGATAACTTAAATGACAGAAATGACCCATCAGATGAGGAGAACAACACGCTCAGAACAAGCTAGCAAGATGGCTATCTAAATATGTTACCTCAGTTTGCCTTTTCTCTGACTAAAAGGGTAAAAGACTCATCTCTAGTGTCCATTTTGTGCTGAATAAATACAGAATTACTGTTTTCTTACAATTTTCTTCGATGTAAGAGTTACAGTAACGCTAGCTTGGCTGTATTTATTAGCTTACAAATCAGTGGCTAGGCTAGCAGTCAGGACTGTTTGACATCAGAGGGATACCCAATAGTTGTATGAAGTGTTTAGTGGCATGCTGGGAAGTGTAGTGAGAAAACATTTATAAACAAAAACATGAAAAACAACTGTGAATTTTATGAAAGGATATAATGCTGCGCTACAGAATACTGCGTAACGTGACAAACTGCGTACTGAACCCTATTTTTAAGCCTGATTCCCTTTTAACATTTCAACTGGGCTCCTTCGATTACTAAACTCAGTTACTCAATTTAAAAAAATCACACACAAAAAAATGGACCTTCTTGATGAATCTGCAATGATAAATTTTGCATTTAAAATGCATATATTAACCTCAGAAAGGCTACAAATGGTTGGCTGTTGTTCAGTTAAGTTTATTTTCATGGCTCAGTCTTGATTTACCATCAGAGTAATTGGTAATTAGCTCAATTACGATTATAATCGATAGTGAAAGCTCTATGCTTAGCTAAACACATGTTTCTCTCACTGCTGCAGCTTTATTATAAGGAGGACTTTTCTGTGTGAAAAGGCAGAACTATAAACACAGACAGATTGTGGTTTACCATATTTAACCGCACGCTGCACCAGTGCACTACCACACATATAAATGTGTACTGCGCAGCACAGGCTTCTCAGAGCCTTGCACTGGGCCAGTTTTCACACTAACTCAAACTGATCACTGATTCATGATTTGAATCAGAGAAACTCTTCCCTATTACAGTGATGTGAGACTGTTTTTGCATTTTCTCTCACAATGATCAGGCTAGTAACCAACACAGTAAAGGAGGTACATAGGAAACACTGACCAGGAAGGACACGAAACTGGCTCCGAAGCTCATCAGTGGACTCTGGGTCCTGCAGAGAGAAAGCATGACAACAGTAAAAGCAATGTTTTCAAAGGGCCCATATCCTACATTTATCTTGTATTTTATTTTCTTCCCTGATGTCTACATATAGCATTTGTGTCATTCTTTACATGATCCTTTTCCAACCTTTCTTAATCCTTTCTTTTGTTCTGTGCCTTTAAGATTGATAAATGTAAATGAGCTCTGTTCTGACTGGCTGCCCTGTATTGTGCCTCATTCACAGAGCAGTCTGGGCTGAAACACTCCTTATAACTTCAGCGTGAATGGGCAGGGCTAAACTGCTGTATAGGCTGAAAAGGGAGATATATGTAAAACTGTTTTCGTGACATTGCAATGTTTCCATTAGACTGTATGGCCTGAAGAGAGAACAGTATGTTTAACAATGTTAACAGACCGAATCAAACTCTTTTATTTTATGAAAGGATTTTCTAATGACTATATGTATGCTATTTTGCCATAATTTTACCCTGTTATGGGTAGACTATAAAACTGTAAAATTATTGTACAGCTTCATTTATACAGCTCCACAGACACAGCAAAGAAATGGAAATCATAAATACAGCTTGTAACAGACACTGCAGGTGCAGAGTTTTTATATACAGCAAAAAAATCGCTGTTTAAACAGCTTGGACATTCTGCACACTGACCAAGCTCATTTCACTGGGCAAACGTCTTTGCATTTATTCCAAATTTCAGTTAAGAAGACATGCTAATCACTCCCTATACAGAATGGATGCTTGTTATGCCACATAACCAAAGACGCCCTCACATATACCATGGATCCATTGCGCTGCCACATGCGAGGCTGGTTAGACCATACTGCTTCGTTCTGGGATAATTTAGCTAGAATCAAATTTATGAAGAACACATAGGGATAGGCAATACGGCAAAAATATAACATCATGGTACTTCAAGACAATTTCACATAGGTCAACATGCATCACGATATTTCATTTTTGTGAGATTTTCAAATTCAAACCAATTAAACAGAACTAATTATTCTTTCATTGTAATGAAACATGCAACTGGTCAATATTCTCTAAATACTGACCGCATGCTCAGAAAAGCATACTGTGACGCAATTTAATGCTAAATATCGTCATACTGTTGTCCACCCCCAAGAACCTATACAATACAGTGACTGATAATTAGCTGACAGATGGCCCTGGCCAAGTCCTGACCCCTCTTCTCCGGCTGCTATCCCTGTTTTGAATGAAATGTAATGCTTTCACTCTGTGTAACTGTTTGGCGAACAAATGAACCATTTCAGTTGATCTATATATAACTTATAATGATTAGACTTGTTATCTAATGCTAAGTTAACCATGCAAGGCTGCACACTTACTGTTAAACAGAGAGTTAGTATCTCCTCTTTAGCTGGTATCACTTTTTTGCGATTATTGTAATGTAATTGGTGAACAAATGGAATATTAACCTACAAATGTCTTATGGAATTCTCTCCTTCTTGGTCATCTAACACTAAATGAACCATAAATGCAGTGAAAGCATCTGCTTTTATTGTAACAGAGATGCAGAGCTGGTATCCCTAGTTTAACTGGTATCCCATTGAGCAATGCAATCGCTATTTGTAATAGGTGCATTTGGTGACCAAATGAAATACTAATATACAAATGTTTATTATTATTTAGTATTTTTTTGTAAATTAGTCTTCTCTTATCGGATTCCCTGCTTCTCAGTCATTTAATACAACATTATCCATGCACACACTTTTTTTTTTACAAAAATGTGGAAAAGCTGGTATCTCTTCTTCAGCTGGAGGCAATGTATTGAGCTTAAGTCATTAACATGTATAACTTATGATGGTTAGTCCTGTTATCTAATGTTAAGTTATACATATGGCATGGTTAGGTTAAGCATACGGGTTTATTTTATTGTTTAACAGAGATGCAGAATATCACTTCTTCAGCTGGTATCACTGCTTTTCAGCTTAATGTAATGCAATCACTCACTGTAACTGGTGAAGGAATGGAATACTAATATTTAGTATTTCTGTTGATTAGTCTTGTCTTATGGGATTCTCTCCTTCTCAGTCATCTAATGCTAAGTGAACCATGCATGAACTACAAGCTTCTGCCTTTAACAGAGACGTGCAGAACGGGTATCCCTACTTCAGTTGGTGTCCCTGTATTGCACATTGCAATCACTATTAGCAATAGTGAGTAAACTAAATAGTGACATATTATTAATATTATATTATATATAATATAAACATATTAATCTAGGTTGATTAGTAATTAGTATTCTTGTTGATTAGACTTGTCTTGTGAGATCTGCAGAGCTGGTATTCCTTCTTCAGCTGGTAGCAACGTACTGAGCGCAAGGTAATGCAATCTCTGTTTGTAATTGGTGTATTTTGTGAACTAATGAAATACTAATATAGAAATGTCAGGCACTTCTGTTGATCTGTCTTGTTACAGGCCTCCCTCATCCTCAGCAGTCATCTCATACTAAATGAAGCATGCATGCCCAGCAAGCCAGCGTTTATATTTATTTTTCTGTTTGAACAGAGAGATGTGCTGGGACTTAAGTACATCTCTACCGAAGCCCATTTCTGCCACTGGAAAACAGCCATTTAGTAAGTCATAATAATGGGTATGTTTTCCATAATTATGGCTTAGTATGTCATAATTATGACACAGAATGTCACAATTATGACTTGCTATTTCATGTTAATGAGATTCTATCTGATAATTATGACGTATTATCTCATAATAATAAGAATGTTTCTCATAATTATGACTTGATATCTCCCAATAACTACTTACTATCTTATAATAATGATGAAAAAAAATTCTCATAATTATGAGATACCAAGTCATAGTTATGGTATAGTCATTATTATGAGTCATAATAGTAAGTCATTATTAAGAGATAGTAAGTTTTAATTATGAGAAGGTAAGCCACAATTTTGAGAAACCAAGTAATAATTTTGACACAGTCATAATTATAAGATGCTAAGTCAGAATTAGATGGTAAGACGTAATTATGAGATTGTAAGTCATAATTATGAGAGAGTAAGTCATTATGAGTCGCTAAGTCATAATTATGATATATTATGTCGTAATTATGAGATAGAATTTCATTTTTATGTGATACTGTCATAATTATGAGATTGAATTTCATTGTTTTGAGATACTAAGTCATAATTATGAGATTGAATTTTATTATTATGAGTTACTAAGTCATAATGATGAGACTGAATTTCATTCTGAGATATTGAATTTCATTCCTATGAGATACTAAGTCGCAATTACGAGATCTTAAGTCATAATAATGAGATTGAATTTCATCATTAGGCGATACTAAGTAATAATTATAAGATATTACATCAAAATTATGAGATTGAATTTCATTATTATGAGACACTAAGTCATACTTATGACATAGTAAGTCATTATGAGATACTAAGTCATAATTATGAGATATTAAGTCATAATTACGAGACTGAATTTCATTATAATGAGATACTAAGTCAATTATAAGACAGTAAGTCAGAATGATGAGACACTAAGTCATGATTATTGAAAGCTTTCTCATTACTGCGACTCACTAAACGGCTATCTATTTTTTCAGGGCTTCCGTTCATCCCTCAGATGAACACACGCATCATATTTCTCGCCATAACCTCGCAGGCCTACCTGTATCTCCTGAAGAGCTCGTCGCTTTCCTTGAAGCCGTTGTTGAGCAGCATGTTGATGCCCTGAAAGGCCAGCTCCGCATCCTCGATGTTCTCCGCTCTCTCCTCTTCCACCCGCTGCTGCTGCTGCTGCTGCTCCTCCGGCCCCGCCATTGTGTTTGTGCGCCGGCTTCTGCTCTCTCAGGCCGCAGCACAATCGCAGTGGACAGCTCGCATGGACTGTGCAGCTACGCAGTACAAAGCAGAATAAAGCGCAGGCTGAGCTCGAGACGGTGTATGTTATCCAGCACCCCCTACTGCACGCGCGGCTTCTCTCGTCTCCTCGCGCTCTGGGCTCCTTCATCCAGCGAGCGAAGCACAGCGCTGTAGACCGACCAGACCCGGTGATCAGATGGCATTTCGCGACATTCACCCACTAGTCAAGCGTCGTCTGAATGAGCGCAGGGCCTGACCTCACTAACCCGGCCGTCTGCTGCAGGTTCCTCATGATGATTTACAGAAGAGCAGCCTCAGGACGCGCCTCAGTGCAGCGCACTCACCATCCTGCTAATGGAGGCTGTGCGGGAGTCCGTTCAGCCCACAGCACACGGTCACTCCTCTTGCATCTCCTGCCAGAGATTGCAGTGCCGTAGAGCTGCAGTCAGTCCCCGTAGTCCTCACTGTACGGCACACCCTTTGCATCCAACTGTTCAAGGGAAAAAAATCAGTGACGCCGCACACAGCCTTAAAGGGGAACTCCACACATTTTTCAAAAGTTCCACATGAAGAGGTTCAACAGACTCAGTCTGATCTTACTGTAACTTCAGTCTAGCAAATCTATCCCTGCACATATAGACTGACATCTTCTATCCATATCTTGTATAATCTGGAAAATATATATATGAAAAATTAAAAATTGGTCGAATTCCCATTTAAGGGTTAAAGGGGAATTCCACCAATTTTTCTAAATTTTGGGATTCCACTGTTACATTGTAAACAAAGACATTCTGACTGGTTTGATGTGAAATGGACAGTTGTAGAGGAAGTTACAGACTCAGATTTTCTTTACTGTGGTGGTGATAGGAACCAGGGGTCACCATGTCTGCAGTGCAAATATAGCCATTTTATTTTCTATCCAAAAACACCAGTGAACCTACATGTGTCTTCTGAGTTTTTATATGTAATGTTGATGATGGTAAAGTAGTGGGCAATCTGAAATAATATGAAACAATATGTTTTCCTTGGGCACTATTCTGCCTTGTAACGCCCTGCATGTACCCCTCCACTAAGAATGGATTAAAATAAATGGATTAATAAGGTTTAGGCCAAAACTCACAAATCTTTCATAAAGCAATGTTTCAGGCACCAGCCAGTGTATTTGTAGTCTCATCCCATTTTGTTATATATATATATATATATATATATATATATATATATTTAATTATTTTCATTATTTACAACCAAAATCTTACTGTTGGTCTTTACTAGCAAGCAAGCAAATTACACATTTTATGAACTCTGATTTAGTACTAGACAGTTTGTAACAGACACAGCAGGTTCATAGTGATCATATACTGCATAAAAATAAAACTGCAAAGGTTTTTGAGCATCCTGTAAGCTGACCAGGCTCACTTGTATTACACCCTCTTTGCCTTTATTGTAGATCAGTTAATAAAACCTAATTTTATTAACTACATCTCATGCAAATGTGCTTCTTATGCATTTCTGCAGTTCTGTCAGTCCAGACTGCTTGTCTTGAGATACTGGAAGGCCTGTCTTGTAGTGTGTTGAGTACAGACATGCCTCTCAAGTGGAGCAGAAAATATGCCACAAAAATATAGACACCACACTCAGAGAGATGGAGAGATAGACATGGAACGAAGGAGAGAGATGAATGGAAGGAGAACGAGAAGGGAGAAGAGGAGAAATGCAGTGAGAGAGAGCAATAGAGAGAGAGAGAGTGAGTGAGAGAGAAGAGCCTTACAGCCCCAACATCAGACCAGTCTCTGAGGAGACCCACAGACACACATTAATGCACACACCACATCACATAAATAAATTATGACAGACCCTTTCAGTGTCTGTGCTCACAGTATACCAGCATATCCGCCCCTCAGTCTACATAGATTCATGCCAAGAGGAACCGGAAGGGTGTTGGTTTAAATGGTATCAGTATATTAAAACGTTTGTGCTGCCAGCAGGCCTGTTTCTGAATATTTGGGGGCATGCTACTAGACTATTTGGGGGTCTCTCACTGCACCCACCCCAGTAAATACTCTATTCTGTCTAAGAATAGACTTAATTTTAATGAAGAACAAATGTAAGAAAACCTCTTGACTCACTGTGTCTTTTTCACAAATGACATTGAATACATTTTAAAATGTATATACTCAGGGGCCTCCGGGTGTCTGGGGGGTTCTAAGCAACCATAACACTTATTGCAAGAAACGGTCTTGGCTGCCACAACTCATCACAAAACTATTGATTTTGATTTCAGCCCCATTATTTTATAGCAATTTTGCAAAGTACAAAGGTGAGATCAAGCCATTCTTAATCAACAATAATATTTATTTTTACATTTATTGTTTCTTTTATTCTAAAAATCTGAATGACCAATTGAAGAAAAACTGCCAAAAGTATTCACTGGCAAGGCAGCGATTCTGATGTACCAAATATTTGATTCAATTCATTCTTATGCCATGTGAAAAACCCTCATTGCTGTTAATTATTCAGGAAAAGTCCTTCTTGCAGGGTTCAGGAATGTTGGATTCTACAAGAGGAATTGCAGCTTTGCTCTTGGTTGTGCACGTATGCCACCATCTCTAAAATCCCCCAAATATAACCTCAAAATTTAATCCAAGAACTCTTCTCCACTCCCGTGTCCCACTGGCCTCCTAGTCTCCTGGACACTCGTTAGTGTTGACAGGGCCGAATATACTGGTAATAGACTCAAATGAAACAGCAGCCTGGTTGATCTGCACGTTCCTCATACAGCCCACAAAGGAGCTCCACACTGGAACCCTCCTACGCTTCTTCTCTGCATTGACAGTGAGAGAGAACGGAAGTCCATTAACAAAATGCTGGTGTATAGTTACCATTATTTGAGTAGATCAACATACAACATACATGAACACTCAAAGAAACTTCTGCATGCTTAAAGGGTTCCTTGCATTATGAAAACGTTCTTCAGACGTTCTTCAGATATGGTTCTATATAGCACCGAAAGGGTTCTTCTATTGTTACAAGCATGACATTTATATTATAAGTTATTATTAGAATAACCGACATAAACAAGTACTCCGCCAAGAATTGTAATGTTAGTTCCTTTAGAGTACAGTCTCGTTGCCAAGCAACCACAGACAGCTAAATGAGGAGAATATTCAGTCGCCCATTGCTGTATGTTGTGGTAATTTCATGATTTCATGACTTTTTGTTGTATAACAATGAGCATATGATAACACAGCACTGCTTAATGCAAAAACTTCCTTTTTATATGTACTTTTTGGTCACCAAATTACCACTGTGAGTCTTATACAGCACCAATCCAGCGGCACCCCTCTTCCCACGCTGGGGCTGAATCTCAAACGGCTCCATGCTCCCTACATAGTGCACTACATAGGAATTGAAATATTGGATCCTGCACCATAATGGTGCAAATATAGCTAAGAAATAGTAATGTGAGACACATCCACATTTGATAAATGGTGCCCTATTTGGCCGTAGAGGCTAGAATTTCTAAAATTCCACAGCTAGAACACTATTGAGGGAGTATGGAGCCGTTTGGGATTCAGCCTGGGTTTGACGCTACTTCTGACTGAAACACAGACATTTGAAGCGTGTAAGTCATTCAAGTAACACTTTAATATTGCTGTTTTACAGTGAATCATATCATAAGTACTTTAGTTCAAGTCTGTGATATTAATGATGGAGTTGTTTGGGCTGTTGGCCTCTTTTAGCTTGTTGGCTAGCTGACCAGCCTAGTGCTAGTTAAGCTGCGAACCCCTCTGTTTAAACAAAAAATGGGTTCTTACTTCATCAGTACACTCGGTGGTCCGTGAGGGCAGCATGAAAGTCAAAGATTATCCCATTAACAGCACAAGGTTTTTTCGTGCCATGGTGCATTAGTTGTTGTGATGTGGTCATAGGTGGGCATATATTGTCGATTTTACAATGGCTTTGAATGCGGTTCAGCCAATCAGATTTTAGGACCGGAATTATCCTTTTAATAAAGAACCATATATAATGTATTCTCCAGCAATCTGAAGATCCTTCACCACGCAAAGAGCCCTTTAAAAATACAAATGGTTCATTGACTGTTAATGGTTTTATATAAAAACCACTGTCTTTACTAATGAACCCTTGAAGAATCATCTTTTTTAAGAGCGTAACCTTAAAGCCTTAGTCCAGAGACCAAATTTACACAATATTCTCTTTGCTCCAGACGTAGACGATCAGCCAGGACATGTTTGATGCCTGATGTTAACAAATAACAGCAGTTTATAGCCAACATGTCATTACTGTGCAAACTGCATGCTTCAGTCATCCCACAGCATGTTGAGTCGTTATGTAATCTCAAATATGACTTGCTTATGTGGTTTCAGACACTGTAAGACATACTGTTATCTATAAAAATGCATTTTTTTAGGCCGAGCAAGAAGCTTGTCTACTGTTGTGAGCATTACCTGGGGCGCCACCGATGTAAAGGGTGTCATGAGCCTGGGAGTCATAATGCACAGAAGGTCCGACAGCACTATTAGAATCTTTGCCCACCGTAAGCTTGATAGAATTTCCGTTTTTGGTCACTGGAGAAAAGGAACAGTGTATATAGTGTTAGAAAGGGAATCATTACTTGATGTATTGTAATGTAAATGTCCTCAGCAGTCCCACTGGGCCTGTCCCATTTCAGACACAGAGCTGGTTTGGTGTAAAACACTGTGCTGGTGATTTCCATGCTCTAAGAGAGCTAACAACAAGTTTTCAGCTGATTCTTCTCATCAGTTAACAAGCAAGTTGAATAAGAGCAGGAAAAACACTAAACCAGGAAAACACTACGATCACCTTTCACGTGGTGGAAGGTGTGATCACACAGGGGTGATGGAGGAGTAACAGAAGTGCCGTAGTCTCCTGCTCCATCATTCATCTGCACCACCATCTACAGCAACACATCCAGCACAGCCCGGTCAGACAAAAGCCTTCACACCAGTTTCAGGAGCAAATAACGAAGATAATCTTTACATTGATCACTGTCATTACTTGAAAAGCAACTCCAAAAGGTAAATACTACTAACAGTATACACTACAGACCACATAAACAGACAAGGCCTAATACTATTTACTAATAAATGTGTTTTATTTAATTATAATTAACTAAATGTATTATTATTGTGCTTAAATATACCAAGTGTTTTTTGAATACTGTTTTGGGGTTCAGTGACTGTTTTGAACAGTTTGACATCTTGGGCAACATTAGATGAGCAGATAGCATATCTAAAAGTTGCATAAATACATAGTTATTGCATAAAGGATTGCAGTTCAGGGTAAAAAAGGTGGTGCCTTATTAAAGGCCGATAATGGAAAAAATGAAGACAGCTACACCTTAAAGAGACTCACCTTGGCCTTCTTCAGGAAGACACTAAGGCTGTGGCCATGATGACCTCTGCAGTGAAACAGTAAGCCTGTCACGTTTCTCGGGCGAACTTCA